GAGCCCTCCTGATTTGCACTAATTTCTCTCTTTATGTCATCTCTTTCTATCTCTCTCGTCCCTAATGAGTGCTATCTCTCTCATCCCTAATGAGTGCCCACAGGCACCCATTAGAAAAGCCAATTTATAATTGTTATCCAAACAAAAAAGTGAATGAAGTTAAAGAAATATAATTCTACTTCTTCTCTCGTTAGTTCGTACTTCATTATTTTAGAAGTAATAATAATCTTTAATCTACTTCTTATCTGTCATACTTTCTGACAATCAAATGGACTCATTTGAACTCTAACCACCGAAAGAATAAAGTTTTAGCTAAATAGCTAATATAAAATTTAGAAATATCTTGAGAGCATTTCCTAACACAACTGCTGAGACTGAGTAATGTAACTCAATGTAGTAAAATTACGGGTGAATTAGACAATAGTTAGATTTAGAATATATTAGCAAGTATGGCTGATTTGCAGGAATATATTTAAAATTAAGAACCATTTACGTTTGTTTTGTCACTTTCTCTTTCAGGTTGTTGGAAAAGGAAAGTTCACCAACATAAAAATTAATGTCAGTGATAGGATCTTTACAAGTGCAAGTAACTTACATAATCTTTATGATATTTAAATGTTGTTAAACTAAATGTCATAACTCCATAGTTAAAAGCTTTAATTATATGGTATTATATGGTTTCTTTGTCAAAAAAACTATGAATCCGAACCTTCTTACACGCGCGAACGAGAGTTTTCAAGCAGAAGTACGTTTTTACCAACTCATCGTGCAACAAAGAATCTGTCAATATGCACTTGTGATATGATGGGGTTAATTTGATTATCATTTTGGAGGACTTGGTATTGCTTCGTGGGATCTTCTTCTTCCTCGCACTGAGACAAATTTATATACTAAATTTTATTTTAAGCACATTTTTCTTTCTTTATTTCTTTAATGGGATTTTTTTTTCTTTCAAAAACTAGGTAAGGTTTAGATATCATGGTGTTTTCCTTGTTTTCATGGTGTTTTTGTTAAGAATTATGTGTTTGAAAACCATTGTGTTTTTTGAGCTAAAACAATCTTAAACCAAAAACACAACACCTATTTTAAAACACCTAAAAAGTGTTTTTGAGCTTGATGTTTTGGTTTTGGGTTTGAGGAGATGGTGCTCAGATGTCTAATATAATATATTAAATATAATTTATTATCATCATGTTTATTATATTATATCATATCATATTATATTATATTATGCTATAATTTTATTATATTATATTAAATATTATATATATTTGTGTTGTCGTAAAACCGTTAATTTTACTATCACTTGATGCATTAGTAACTATAACCAAATATGCCTAATTTTTGGTTTATATGCCATCCAAATTATTTAGATCAAAATGAACGGAGTAGATCAAATAAATTAATTATGTATAATATAATTTTGAAGGTGCATCCTTAGATTCAATCTAAGGTGACTCCTTAGAATCATATTTCCCATTATATTATATACATTATATTGTATTATATTGCATTATATTGTATTATACTATAGTTAATCTTGTTGGAAATTGAGGTTAAATCTGGAATGAAACAATGAATTAGATGTGCTGTATTTTTAAACTTTTTCAGTTAACTGCCGTGCGTTATAGAAACGCTGTGCTTAAAGCAATATTTGGCCTACTCCGGTGCAAGGATCCCAAGGCCAAACTGCTTCCAGGAATAGCAGTGCAATACTCTAGTGTGCACCAACCCAGTATTGTCAAGATCTCATTGATCTATAAGACCTTTCGGTCTAGGCAAAATATCTCATCGATCTCAAAACCTTTCGGTTCAAAACCTTTCGGTTTAAGACAAGTTCCTGTAGGCACAAGTTCCTGCAGCAGCAACACAACAACAACAACGTCAAGATCGACGTTCGTATTCCAGCACTCGACGTTCGTGTTCCACGCTCGCGAGAGTATTTTCAGCTCTCGACGTTCGTGTTCCACGCTCGCGAGAGGATTTCCAGCAGCAACCAAGAGCTACCCAAGGGCGCTATTTATAGGCCTCTAAGGCCAGCTCAAGAGTCACTAGCAATTAATGTGATCGTTATAATTTTTAATGATAATTAAGATTGTAACATCAATGCATTAAATTGCTCCTAATGCGGTTATAATTGCTGCATGCATTAACTCCTGAATATGAGGCAATCAATGGACGCGTTGCTACGAAACGCGAGGGTCACGTCTCAACAAATCAGACGAACCTCGTTTGACAAACGAACGTCGTCAAACAGGTGAACCTCGTATGACAGACGAACCTCGTCGAACGAGCGGACATAGTCAAGCAGGCGAACCTCATATGACATACGAACCTCGTCGATCGAGCAAACCTCGTCAAGCAGGCGAACCTCGTATGACAGACGAACCTCGTCAATAAGCGAACCTCGTATGACAAACGAACCTCGTCGAACGAACGAACATCGTCAAACAGGCGAACCTTGTATGACAGACGAACCTCGTCGAACGAGCGAACCTTATCAAACTACGAGAATGCTAGGGTCACCCTCGTGCGAATACGTAGCTCGTCCGCATGCTGTGAAGCAGCCTGC